GATTTGCGTCATTTTATAATAAAATTTCAGGCGACCTAGGCTTTTTTAAATGAAACAATACAATGAAAATCACTGAATTCCTTAACATAAATTTTATTGCATAACTTTATCTATTTAACGTGTTTTATATTTTCTTTAATTTTTTAATTTGAAATTTTATATTTTGATAATTTAATTTGAAACATCGTAAACCTTTTTTTGTATTATCACATAATATAAAATTAAGTTAATTTTTGAATACGTTACGTTTGTAGCTTGATTTGCATTTTTTTAAAGTTATGTACTTTATTTTAAGTAGGTATTTATTTCAAATCGTTACGCTATTCGTCTTTCATTTGTCTTCTTTATAATTGTTAAACTTTTTAGGCATAATGTTTGGTGTTTCCTTCGCCTCCCCTTTTACGCGCTCGCCTATTGTCCTGATTACGCAAACACTCCGATGCCTACTTCGCATTCTTGCTCATTCCAAGGACTCGTTTCTCTTCACTGGCAGTTTATCTCCGTTGAGATACAGGGATGTTGCATTTTATAACACTATTTTCTTTAGATCTCCGACAAATTATTAAAAAGAAAATACATACCTACAAAATTTAAAAACACATGAAAATAGCTTTGGTTTTTACTTATCGTTATTATAATTTTTCGTACGCTCTGATCTTAGAATACCTCAAAAGTTTTTTTTCGACATGTCATTTATATTGTATATTTTTTTAGAAATTTGCACTAAAAATTATTTTAGCTTTTTGTATTGTGATGTAACTTTAAGCAGTGTTGATAGATTTTGAGTAGACTGTAATGAGTATTTTAAGATGTTACATTATACAGATATACTTGTATTATAAAATAAACTCGCGCTTAAGCGAGCTTTATAACCAAGCGTTTTGTCATTGTTGTTGTGTACAATTTTTGATATACGTTCGCCAAAATATTCGTTTTTCAATTCAATAAACAAATGCAATTAGTACATAAATGATCTTTAAGTGTATTCCTAATGAACATAATATGTTGTGACATACATATACATATGTTGTGACATATTATGTCAGATATTTTAGGTACTTTAATCAAAAACTGTACTTTATGATATAAAGAACCAGATTAAAATAGAACAATCCGTTAATTATTGAAAACCTAACATCTTATTTTGTCAACTTCTATTTGTATGAAAACAAAATACTAAAAAATATTTTTTCTAACACTTTTTACCAGTGAGTGTTTTTAATCAATTTTCAGGCATCCTTATTATCCACCTAATATATTTTTTAAACATATTGTTATCTTGATCGAATTTTCACTTTTAAACTATCGCGCTGCATTATTAAATACTTATAATACCGGGTATTAGACGCGATTTGACACTGACCTGCGCCAAAGTCAGTGTAAAATCGCGTCTAATAACCGGTATTATAAATATTTAATATTGATCGAATATTGAAAGTATTTGTAAAGAATAGTTCTTTTGGCTGTTTGGGTGGATTGCCTGAACATTGATGGAATGCTCACTGATAACGAAAAAATAATTCGTGTAATAATATTATGTTGCGAGTAAAATATTTTTTCTTCTCGCATTAGAATTTGTCCAGAGTGAATTTTTGTTTTCTAAGCTTACGCTATCGTTTGCCCGTTTCAGACAACAGATACGAATGAAACTGCCTAGTTGTTCAGCTCCGTTGAATATTGCTGCATATGAAACCTGCTGAGTCAACTCTAAGTGCAGGACACGGAAAATTTTAACCAATTGTAATTCCTGCACTTTGAATAAAGCTAAGTAATAATATGAGTATATAGCTATCACATTGTATTACTCTTTATTCTGATAAAGTACCATATAAATCATTTTAAATATTTAAAACGAAAATTTTCTAAGTTAAAAATATTTGCTTTAGATATTGATTCGAATATGAAAACTCTTTCTTTGACAGCAATTAAGGAGAAGAATTTTATTATTATATTTGATAAACTTTGTATTCGCAATATTACACGGGTTTTTTTTAACAAAAAATGCTTTAAAAATCCACTTAGTCCCTGGTACTTTGAGATAGGATTCGAACCCTCGACTCTTCGCAATACGGGCAAATAGTTTAGAGCAGTCATCCGGATTACGGAAAATCCCATCTCAGAGTAACAAGGATTTTTAAGCTTTTTTCATTTAGAAGAGTTTTATTCTATTTATATAAAAAAAATGATAGAAAATATACAACGATTATTTTATAAAAGCACAAGGTACGGTCGCCTAATATGGGCTATATTATATATTGATTTTGACCGCTGGAATGCTAAAAAATTAAATAGAATAAATACATGTTAATTACACTCCCTGGACTGATCAAGTCGACCGCCTAACTAGAGAATTAGATGGTTAGATAGCCATGACATAGCCTTAGGATGCAACGTCTTATCGATCTTATGGCGATATTTAGTTTAATTTTTCTATTTCGACATCGAAATGTTTTTAGTGGATTAACGAATAAGTTGATAACACCCCTATCAAATTCATAATCATTATTATTTTTAATTTGTTCGTCGTTACTAAAGTACAGTCTACAGAACGTCAGGTTATACAAATTTCTCCGCTGAACAGTTTGAACAGTTTCTAAATACGAACAGTTTCTTTGTAATTTTAAGCGACGTTCACAGTTCTATTAAGCTAAAGGCCGGACTTTTTCGTTTTATTGTAAACAAACAATATTAACTGTTTTCCACATTCATTATCCATATCTATATATCCTAACGTTTTATGATTTTATAACACTAAATAAGTATTATTAATACCTACATAATAATGATGTAACCCATATTCAATATTACAGTTTATAATCAATACTTCTTTTATTAAATATTCTGTACTTTTTGATTTTATAAAGAAAGTTCTTTTTCGCTTAAGACTGGATTATTTCGTGTTATTTAAGACAATTTTATACAGATTTCTCTATGAAGTTTATTTGATTTTACTTAAATCAAATAGCTTTGGGCCCTTTTTAACTAGCGGCCTGGAAGATCTGAAGGTGGCCTGTGCAACGAAGAGTAAAAAAGTAAATATATTTTTGAAACAAAATGACAGCTCATTTCATTGTCTTAGGAGTTCTTTGTGATATTTTAGGAACAGTAAATATTAATTAAAAGAGTTTGCAATGATTTGAGGTCGGGTTTATAATTGAAGAAATTTGACATATTGTGGTAAACTACGTGCAGCCGTAAAATATTTAAAACGAAATATCCCCATAACATCGATAAATTGATATATCCATAGCTAGAGTACTGACCCCCGTAAGGATATAAATTATTATTGAAACCTATTTCAGTTGGGCTTATAGAACTCCAGCGGTCAAAAATAGTGAAACCTATATTATCTTATTAATAATTAATTGATTAATAGTAAATTATTGACATATATTTAACATTATATAATTGTTTTATTTGCTTCAAACGATGCAAAATGAAATTATGTTTAAATATAATTAATGGATAATTTTATTGATGATTTATTATACGAATTCGAGTCAACATTATTATTCATGTATTTTTTCACGAATTACGAACGCAATTTTTTTAAGCTATCGCGTTGAAATCTTTTAAACTAAATAGCAATAACATAGTCATAAATAATTTAATACGTTGTTATTGTCTCTACAAACCTCTTTAATTTATATCTCAAATGACATTTTGGCAACATATTAGTGTCATAAATAAATTGACGTTAATAAATTTAAAAATACAACAAGTGAATCATGTTAATACTATTATAATTAAATGGAAGTGCTTTAACGAAAATATTATGCAAATTGTTGGAGATATAACATTTCAATGTATCGAGTTGTATGTTTCTGATTCAAATATACATTCTACCTCTAGCAGGCTTGAAGAAAAGAAAACATAATGAAAATCCAATTTTTTATTCATCGATCTTGACTTAAAAAATGGCATGTAAAAGAACTTACTAATTTTTAGACATTATAAAGAACTACAATTCATAAACAGAACTTTTTTAATTTTAAATAATTAATGAGGTTGTAAAAGACCGGAGAAGTATTTAGTCAGTGGAAATTTCAAAAAGCGAACAATCTATGTAACTGCGGGCATGAATGGGCGTTATGCTGTCCAATGGCGTAGTTTCCCTGCAGTTAGCTTTACACATCTTCTCCACACCATATCGATCTACTTATACACTTTGCAAATATTATTGCCGATAACTAACTTTAACACATGTTAAACTTTGCGAGTACTGTTATACTAAAGACAATAAAAAGCAAGTATATTATCTATGACGCTTATTCGTTTTTTAAATTAAACGCTTATGAAAGTTACTGTATTCAAATATTGTTTCTTTTTTAATAGATCGTACTTTTTTGATTATGATAAGCTCCGTTTTTTTTGCCTGATAATAAAGATTATATTGAATATTAAATATACACGTAGGTTTAGCATTATATATACATATAAAAATAAGTCCTAATTCCAAAAACGACCTCATTTATGCAAACAAAAAAGATATATTTTTGTAAATATTTACCTAAAGTTACTTTTTATCATTAGTCATAGTGTAGTGTATGGTGTAGATTAGAAACAAAACTATTTGAGAGCCGTTCGAAAAAAACTTGTGAGGTAAAAGCAGCGTTAATGACCCTACACGATTTCGCAATAACAAAAGCACATAGATTTTCTTCATCTTACTTCCGTTGACTTGTACGATTCTGTTTGCAGCATCCCGGAGATATTATAAGTAGAGCCGATGTTATAACGGCCCGCGTTCTGCACCGTGTTTATTGCAACACCCTATCGATCTGTTTACGCGGTTTGTTTTGACACTTTTTATACGACCATTAGCATCCATTCTCCGTTTCTTCTTTCTTGCGTTCGAATTTAGAACGTTATTCGGAATCTAGAATCACGTGTGAGCATCGATCCGACGGCGAAATCGGTGCGTCCCGAAAATACCCGGGCGGCCGACGCTTAAGTAAGCGACATTAGCTCACAACATCTGTTAATATGATCATTGTTAATTACATATGGGTTGTTGTTAATATATTGTAGCCACCTGTCCCGAGGAGGGCGCTTGCAGGTACGTCGCTACGTCGTCCACCATGCAGGCTCGCGGGAGGTCGGGGAGGAACATAATACGCTAGAGGGCGCGCATATCGCGTGCGGCCGGCGCGGCGCCCCGCGTCACACTGGCGAGTGAGACCCCGCGCTCCCCCGCCGCCCTCGTGCCCCCATCCCGCGCCGCGTTGCCTCGCCCCGCCCATACCCAAGGGCTGTGCGGAGCTTTTCCGAGTTTTCCACTCATTTTTCCTGCGTCGTTTTGCGATTGCAATCACACTCACGTATATCTGTGGCTGTGTTTTGCACGGATATTGCATTAGGATCGAGAATGTCATGACGTTCGAAATATATGGAACTATTCGTTAATAACATAGGATACTACTTTGGAAATTAAATCAGACCAAACTGAACTTGTTGTTTTTAATAAAACTTATAAATCTATAGTGAAATCAATAGTAATAGAATTTTTAATTATGTCAAAGCATAGTTCGTAGTAGTATTACAAAAGTTGATTTGGATCCAGAAGTTAATTATTAATCTAGATGAAAATCTATTCAAGAATGACCTGAAAAACAGGTAACGATTTTTCAGAAGCAACAAACAGTTGCAGAGTTATGAAAAATGTTCCGAACAAATAAAAAACAGTCATCTTTCGTTATGAAACATTTGCTGAAAAAGTTTTCACAGTCGCCAGCCCTATACCACTACGCCGTAATGCATTCGGCGTTCGTTGCGCCTCGGCGCCGTTCGGGCTCGATCGGTACGCGTTCGGCTTTCCTCGGAAAGCTCTTTCAAATTCGGAACACAGTCATGACATATCTCTTTTGCATTATACGACACTTTTCAACCGTATACCATCACAATAAGGTCAAATATCGAATGTTTAATGAAAAGTTCAAGTGTTGTATTTGACTTTTGAAATATCCTAATTTAGAAGCCTTTTTGCTGAGCGCAACAGCTTTTATTGCTTTAGGATTAAGTTGATTTTTGTTCGAAAGAGTTTTTCAGCTGACGCGTCTATTAAAGTCATGCGTAAGTGTGCGTGCATGTGCGGGCGAGCGAGTGTGCGTTAAAAACACATCTTGGGCGGATCGGTGGAGCGATTTTAGGCAGATTTTTTCTGCAATTATTATAATTTCTATACGCGAACTGAAACTTCCTATTATAACAGTTTATGTTTGTGAGCGCCTGCTTTCTTCGTGTATCATATACTATACAACTATTTACTTATATTTTATATGTCCTATATCTCTAGCAATGATGATTCTAAAACTTAACTTAAATTTAATTAAGTTGATTCATTTCCATTTTTTACGCTAATATAGTAAATATTTTTAAAAGTAAGACTTATATTCCTTATAATTTATTGTAACTCTGTGGGTATAACTCTGAAATAGTACTTTTATATTTAAATACACTAATTATTACATTGTAATTAGTCTTCATTGAAGAATACATAATTACATTTTTTATTTAACTTGCCCTAGTTTTTAATGTGGGTCAAATCTTGATATCTAAATTTGACCCAATTTTACTGTAGTACTGTATACGATAGTGCTACAGTAGGCATAAGTGATATTTCACGAAGAGTTAGATTGTGTATTTTATTTGAGATAAACTCGAATGAAAGGCGACATTTTATTAGTTCCACCTACATATATCTTTCAAAGCGTATGTAAGAGTCAATTTAATTTACAAGACCATCATATTACCCAGTCTTACAATCACTATGCCGGGGATTAAATAAGGAAGTTGTTGAAAAAAATCTATTTAGTTTGCTCCGAATTACTATAATACGTACCTAGGGGTAGATGCAGGAGTAGGTTATTTCTCAAATGCTTATTGGGAACTCTCGACGAAAGTTGCCTTAATAGTTCTGGGCAGTCATTGGGTTAGATGCGATTTTCAATAAATACATTAGGGCGTTAATATCACGGCGTAAAACAAGTGGAGAAGAGCTGTAATAATCCCTTGTACCATAGCATTGGAACCGGACAACCTTTTTTTTTCAATTATCTAATTGATGGACTAAATACATCTTTTTTTACGCAAGCATAATCCCTCATGTTTCAGATAGCATTCTTTATTACAGTGACAAGATTTCAGTCATCGGATGAGCTCTATACTATACACGAACTACAGGCATAATGAATATTTCTGGCGCACTAGTGATAATTTTAAAACTTACGTGATATTTTCAATTTTAATTTATTTTATATTAATGCTTTACTTTACATATTCGTGAGGACCTGTAACTGTCTGCCTCCTATTCTTAATATTATTACTTTTAATCAGCTGTAGGTCTTCGTATGATATAATAAATAAATAAGATATAATTTTTCTATTGCTTCAATTTAACAAGAAATGGCTTATAGGCATTAAAATTAAAATTGGGGGCTCGTTATGTCATAACTATGTAGAAAATGTACTACGGTGTGACGTCATGTAACATTTCAACTCAATGTATCGCCGCAATATATTGATAACGCAAAAAAGAAGTGTTTAAAAACATATATATTTTTCAATAATCTACCTGACGGACAGACAAATAAAAATCAATCGTTATTACTGTTCAAAATTTAACTGACCTTTTCTGTCTTCTTTGAAGAGAAAATTCACATATTTTCGAAATGCTATTATAAATATAGTACACCTTATGTTTTTTTTTTTAATTTTATAACTCAATGGAGACAATAACTTAACGTCAAGATATATTTTGCACAAAAATTACTTTTAACAAATTCCGAAATCCCAGGGCATAAAACTCGAAACATAAGGACGAGTTACAGGCAAATAGAACCTCATTGAAATATATCAAGGCAGTGATACACAATCAATTATTGAAAGATAAAAAAATAATCGAGTATAGAAAATAAAAATAGTATACGAAAACGCATAACAATATGTTATTAAAAATTATTATGTCTTTAAAACAAATTCTTTATTAATGGTATCGTGGACCAAAGATCTTTTACAGTTAAATCAAACCAACCCAAAGTCTATGAGCTTGAATTATTTCATTACGAAGTTCCCTTGGCCGTGGCTTCTCTTACAAAAGCCTGAATTAAAATAAATCAAACATGGACAAACTCAATGGAGTTGCTTCGTTTGAACACATATATCCCATAGCTACCTTTCGGAGCCATCATCGGATCAGCAATATTCGATAATAATACAACATTATCATCAAAGTTAGTTTTAAGCTTGTAAAATTGGTTGACTTTAAAATTATTAAATGAGAATAACTAAAACTACAAAAACTTTGAACATTATACGATAAGCAAAATAATCTCATATCCTCTACACTAGGAACGACGTCACTTCATTGAACTAGATCTGTTTTCTTTTATTTTTATAATAAAGAATTTTTAAAATCGATTAATAGTTTCGGAGCCCGTTCGATGCAAACCACCAAACAAACAAACCATCCAACAACAAAATCTTTCCACATTATTTCTGACAACTATCAGTCGTCACCTCTAAGTTCGGGTTCGATTTCCGTTCGGCTCTTGTGACTTGTCGTGGGGTCAAGTCTTAAATAAACATTTCTATATTGTCTCAGATCTGAGTGTTGTGTTACCTTCCTTGTTCTAGTACCTGAATGGCTTGTTGATTCTTTTATGAATCTAGCTAGGTAGATTTTAGAAGGAGCTAATTAAAGTATATTAAAGCAAAGGCCTGATTTTAGCGGCAAGAAATAGAAACAATGTTCTATTTTCCCTTGCAATACATTTTTGGCCACCCAGATGTTGTTAGATGACAGCCGTAAGGATTACATTCACAAAAAAAACCGGCTTAGTGTGAATCAGACTCGCGTACGATGGGTTCCACACCCTATTTGTAATTCTATAAAATCGTATCTTCAATATTTATAATTTGTGATTTCAACTGTCTAACCATCACTGTTCAGTAACAGCCTGGTAACAGATGGACAGCGGAGTTTTGGTAATATGGTCCCGTTTTTATCCTTTGTCTACAGAACCCTAAAAACGAAGTCGTAGTATTAAAATGATTCTGTAAAAAGAAAATAAAATAAATATTATACTTACAAGTTCCGTGTTAGACTCAAACGAACTGAACACAATGTCTCCTACAAATTCCCCTGATAAGATCTAAATCAAACGTAAATTATTTAAGCTCCGTCTGTGACCGACCTAATATAATATACGCCGCCGGATTTTGAGACTACTAGTACTGTATTAGATTTACTACACTCTGATTATTTACAGAGTAACAACGAAAGCATTGAAACAGAGATTTCTTGAAATATTGTATTTACACGACTACAGCGAAAGAAAAAAATTAAATCCAATAATAATTATATTGGAATAAATTTGTTATTCTGGTTCATTGTTCAACATATATGATAAAATCGATTAATTCTGAATTTAAAAACAAATCTGCGGGGTGTATGTTTTTATTTAAAAGGCTAAAGACCTTTAAAAGGCTTTGTATAAAGTTTGGAATTGAAAAAACTTTTAAAAACCCTGACACTGTTCGACAGTCCACCATATGCATGTATGGTTGTCTGCGTGTTTCTCTAAAATTTTGTTTTTCACTCATATTAATTTTTTGTGTGTTAAACTACGTAACGCATCGATCCTAACTCGGCTCAGAAATAAAACTGCTTTTCTACTAAATACCTAAAACTGTTTGTGAGTACAGACTTCTAACAATAGTAGAGTCACTCACCGAATAAACCTTCTAAGCCAAACAATTACCTTCGTAGCCGAGTGCCTCATACGCATAGTTTCAGGGTGCTATATCTGAGATATTGGGTTCGATTTCCAATCAAGTCAATATAAAAAATCCATTATTCTATATCGATTTTGGTCAAAGATATTACTTTAACTACGTAACCTCTGTTTCAAACATTACTCTGTTATTGGCGCACCAAGTCTGCAATAACATTACACTACTCTCCGCGTTCACATAATGTCGCTAATACTAATCACATACAGACATATACTCTTCATATTAAGTATATGTGAATATAAACCTTTGTTGTTTATGACAATTCACACAAAGTGTAATATTATACAAGTCAAATCTATTCAGATTTGATATATTCATTTCATCACCATCAATCTATAATAATAATAATAATCAGTTTTTTATCACACAATCATTGCTTCATAAACAATTTATGGCAAACAATTATATTTATATTTAACAACTATATTTACGGCAAATAATTTATGATTAGTTATGTTATAACCCCATTGCTGTGGCACAGCCCTACCCTATGGATAAAATAAATTAGGAAGAACGGGCCATGATCCACCGCGCGAGACTAATACGAATTTGAGGGTATTAACGACTGCATATGCAACAT